AGTTCTGGGATATGTGCATTCTCTAGGATTGCTTTTTCTTGTGAGATTATACTGGAAATATTCTCGGGTTGGTCGCGTTGCTTGGGAATGACTGTCAGTAGACTAGTGCTGAGCTCTGCATGCGAGGAGTTCACCAGAGGCCATATGGAGCCCGGCCAGTCATTAGGTACTATGAACCTCAAGGACAGCAGGCTGTGCACTCACTATCCTGGGGGGAGAGGTGAAGGGAAGGCAGCTGCAACGTTCCGGCCTCATTTACTCATGTCAGTGTATTATTCTGCAGATTCGGCTTATTTGAATTGATGTCATGCTGATGTGAGATTGGGTGACCTTTATCTGTTGCTAGGATCTGTGGTGGGCAGGTAGATGAGTGTTGGTGCCGAAGATTGCAGAGGCGTTATCTGAAAAGCCCAAATGAACATGCGGGTTAGATCAGCTAAATACATGCTACGTGCTTCAAAATTAAGTGTTCAATGTTTTACAGTTTGTTTTTTCTTTTTAAAGCAGCCACAGCTTGAGTAGAAAAGCCTGTCCCCTGCCAGCTGCTGCAGAGGTAAACAACAATGCCCTGTGTTATATAGATGCAAGGCATTGTCCCCACCGATGGCGCACAAAACGGATCATTTTAGCAAGAGGCTAGTATGAATGTGGTCTAAAAATTAGCCACAGCCTGAGTACAAAAGCTTGTCCCCTGCCAGCTGCTGCAGAGGTAAACAGTACCCTGTGCTGTATAAATGCAAGGCATCACCCTCACCGCTGGTGCAGATTCAACAGATTCAGTAAACAATACCTTACGTTGTATAGGTACAGGGCATCGCTCCCTCCGCTGGCACACAAAACGGATCATTTTAACTAGAAGCTAGTGTGAATGTAGCCTAAAAATTAGCCACAGCCTGAGTAGAAAAGCCTGTACCCTGTCAGCCTGCTGTAGAGATAAACAGTGCCCTGTGCTGTATAAATACAAGGCATCACCACGCCATTGGCACACAAAAATGGATCGTTTCAGCAAAAGGCTAGTGTGAATGTGGTCTAAAAATTAGCCACAGCCTGAGAAGAAAAGCCTGTCCCCTGCCAGCCTGCTGCAGATGTAGAGCCTTGCGTTGTATAGGTACAGGGCATCACTCCCACCGCTGGCACACATAAATTGATCGTTTTCACAAAAGGCTAGTGTGAATTTAATCTACAAATTAGCCACAGCCTGAGTATAGAAGCCTGTCCCCTGCCAGCTGCTGCAGATGTAGCACCTTGTGTTGTATAGGTACGGGGCATCACTCCCACCGCTGGCACACAAAAATTGATCGTTCTCACAAGAGGCTAGTGTGAATGTAATCTAAAAATTAGCCACAGCCTGAGTATAGAAGCCTGTCCCCTGCCAGCAGCTGCAGATATAGCACCTTGCGTTGTATAGGTACAGGGCATCACTCCCACCGCTGGCACACAAAAATTGATCGTTCTCACAAGAGGCTAGTGTGAATGTAATCTTAAAATTAGCCACAGCCTGAGTATAGAAGTCTGTACCTTGCCAGCTGCCGCAGGGGTAAATAGTGCCTGGCTCTGTGTAGATGCATGGCATCATCCCCACCACTGGCACACAAAAATGGACCCTTCCAGAAAGAGGCTATTATAAATGTAGCCTAAAAATCGGCCACAGCCTGATTAGAAAAGCCTGTCCCCTGCCAGCAGCTTCAGAGTGGGATCCTTGCTGTCTGTAGGGAAGCAGTGATCTCACTGTAGAGGTCCAAGCCGCCCCCCTGCTATATCAGACTTATACCTATGCAGTCAACAAAGCTCCTGCTCCCTGGAGAGCGCTGGCTCTGACCCGCAGGAAGTGTGGTGGACCTCTGCAGGGAGGCTGCTGTTTCCACACACTCTGCAGCATGTTGGCAGGGAAAGGCAGGATGTTGCTGACCTTGGGCTACATTCACACTAACCTCCTGTAAAAGAACAAAAAACGATTTTACAACACAAGGCACTGTTTAACTTTTTTTTTTTTATAACTTTCTTGAAATTTCAAAAAGACATTCTATTCTCATCAATTTACTGCAGAGGATCTATGGTGACCAGCGCTGACACCAGCCATGCATTGCACCAGCACATCCACTCTGTGTTCTGAACTCAAAATACAATCTCTTCCATTGCGCTCAGCCCCCTCCCAACCTCCAGATTAATTTTTTGTGCCGCTGTGATCCGACTTCCTATTGGTCTAGGGTCACACCTGTGCGTTTTCCGTTGCGTCTTGCAGAAACACACTACAGTCCATTTAACATGACTTCCTATGGGACACGTTCACATCTCTGCGTTTTCACCCAGTGCGTTTTTTGGAAAGGGTCAGGGACTTTTTTAAACGCAAAACGTTGCGATTTTGGTTCAATAGACTTCAATGGAAACGTTTTTTTTTGATGCGTTATTGACAGGTTTTTGATGTTTTTTTGTGTTTTAATCTGCCCAGCAACAAGTTGGAAAAAAACAAAATGCATCAAAACCGCATCAGAAACGCAGGTGCAAAAACGCAGAAGGCACAGCAAAAAGCACTGTAGAAAAGGATCAAACGCAAACTGCATAGGTGTGAACCTGGCCTTAGAGGGTGGCTACATTTGTTTTCCATGGTCGCACTGTATGTAGGAACGTAGCCACCCTCTATTGCTCACTCCTGGGATGGACTGTGGGATTTGTAGTGTGCATAGAACCACAACTAACCTCTACTGCTTCTTCCAAACAACAGGAAGTGAGGGGGAAAATAGGAGGTTTGAGAGCGTATGGAGGCAGAAAAACACAGCAATGAACAATTTAATGAACAACAGATTACAGGGCTATTAAGTAGTGGATGTGTATGGAATATTTTTGGAGAAAAAGGATATTGTTTAGTGTTGCTTTAAAGTGTTCCTAAACCCCGGACCCTACATTCACTATATCTGGTCTCCCCGGACCCTACATTCACTATATCTGGTCTCCCCCGGACCCTACATTCACTATATCTGGTCTCCCCGGACCCTACATTTCACTATATCTGGTCTCCCCGGACCCTGCATTCTCTATATCCGGTCTCCCCGGACCCTGCATTCACTATATCCGGTCTCCCGGACCCTGCATTCACTATATCCGGCTCTCCCCGGACCCTGCATTCACTATATCCGGTCTCCCCGGACCCTGCATTCACTATATCCGGTCTCCCCCCTGACCCTGCATTCACTATATCCGCTCTCCCCCCCGGACCCTGCATTCACTATATCCGCTCTCCCCGGACCCTGCATTCACTATATCTGGTCTCCCCCCTGCATTCACTATATCCTCTCCCCGGACCCTGCATTCACTATATCTGGTCTCCCCGGACCCTGCATTCACTATATCTGGTCTCCCCGGACCCTGCATTCACTATATCTGGTCTCCCTGGGCCCTGCATTCACTATATCTGGTCTCCCCGGACCCTGCATTCACTATATCCGCTCTCCCCAGACCCTGCATTCACTATATCTGGTCTCCCAGGACCCTGCATTCACTATATCCGGTCTCCCCGGACTCTCCCCTGCATTCACTATATCCAGGTCTCCCCGGACCCTGCATTCACTATATCCAGTCTCCCCGGACCCTGCATTCACTATATATCCGGTCTCCCCGGACCCCATTCATTCACTATATCACTATATCTGGTCTCCCCGGACCCTGCATTCACTGTATCTGGTCTCCCCGGACCCTGCATTCACTTTATCTGCTCTCCCCCGGACCCTGCATTCACTATATCCGGTCTCCCAGGACCCTGCATTCACTATATCCGGTCTCCCCGGACCCTGCATTCACTATATCTGGTCTCCCCGGACCCTGCATTCACTATATCTGGTCTCCCCGGACCCTGCATTCACTATATCCGGTCTCCCCAGACCCTGCATTCACTATATCCGGTCTCCCCGCACCCTGCATTCACTATATCCGGTCTCCCCGGACCCTGCATTCACTATATCTGGTCTCCCCGGACCCTGCATTCACTATATCCGGTCTCCCCGAACCCTGCATTCACTGTATCTGGTCTCCCCCCTGACCCTGCATTCACTATATCTGGTCTCCCCGGACCCTGCATTCACTATATCTGGTCTCCCCGGACCCTGCATTCGCTATATCTGGTCTCCCTGGGCCCTGCATTCACTATATCCGCTCTCCCCGGACCCTGCATTCACTATATCCGCTCTCCCCGGACCCTGCATTCACTGTATCCGGTCTCCCCGGACCCTGCATTCACTTTATCTGCTCTCCCCGGACCCTGCATTCACTATATCCGGTCTCCCAGGACCCTGCATTCACTATATCCGGTCTCCCCGGACCCTGCATTCACTATATCTGGTCTCCCCGAACCCTGCATTCACTATATCCGGTCTCCCCGGACCCTGCATTCACTATATCTGGTCTCCCCGGACCTGGTCTGGACCCTGCATTCACTATATCTGGTCTCCCCGGACCCTGCATTCACTATATCTGGTCTCCCCGGACCCTGCATTCACTATATCTGGTCTCCCCGGACCCCGCATTCACTATATCTGGTCTCCCCGGACCCTGCATTCACTATATCTGGTCTATACTCTGGTCTCCCCGGACCCCGCATTCACTATATCTGGTCTCCCCGGACCCTGCATTCACTATATCTGGTCTCCCCGGGCCCTCCATTCACTATATCTGGTCTCCCCAGACCCTGCATTCACTATATCCTCTCTCCCCGGGCCCCCATTCACTATATCTGGTCTCCCCGGGCCCTCCATTCACTATATCTGGTCTCCCCGGACCCTGCATTCACTATATCTGGTCTCCCCGGATCCTGCATTCATTATATCCAGTCTCCCCGGTCTGATGAGCTAATGAACATCAGTGCTTGCAGTTCCAGTGTGTGTTGTGGAAAAAAAAAAGTAGAACAGGCTGCATTTTTCCTGCACAGAACTAAAACGCGGTAAAACATATCATCAAACGCACTGGAGCGCAGCAAAACACATATGTCCCTATTTAACGTCTTGCCAATCGCAGATAGCCGAATGACAGCTGCACTGCGGCCGGCTCGTTCTGGGAGGGCGTCATATGATGTCCTCCAAGAACGCGCTCTCCTGCGTGCCCCCGGGGGTGCACACCCGGCGATCTCCGTGATCGCTGTGTCCTACGGACACAGTTGATCATGTGATGTGGTAAAAGGCCAATCACAGCAACCTTTTACCATGTGATCAGTCGTGTCCAATGACACGCTGATCACCAGGAAATGCAATTGCCGGTTCTCGGCTGCACTTTCCTCACGCTGTCAGAGCACGAGGAAAGTACTGCCGAGAACCGGCAGTTGTCAGAGCAGGAACAGCACCGATCATCAGGGCACTGATGATCAGTGCCCTGATGATTGGTGCCCAGCAGTGCCACCCACCAGTCCGCCCACCTGTACCCAGCAGTGCCGCTCACCAGTGCCCAGCGGTGCCACCCACCAGTGCCCAGCAGTGCCACCCAGCAGTGCACCCACCTGTGCCCAGCAGTGCCACCTACCTGTGCCCACCAGTGCCACCCACCTGTGCCCACCTGTGCCCATCACCAGTGCTGCCAGTCCCACCTGTGCCCACCAGTGCCCATCAATGCAGTGCTGCCAGTCAGTGCCACCAGTCAGTGCTGTCCCAGTGGTTGTGCCAGTCAGTGTCCATCAGTTGCGCCAGTCAGTGCCCAGCAATGATGCCAGTCAGTGCCGCCTATCAGTGCCTATCAGTGCTGCCTCATCAACGCACATCAGTGAAGGAGAAAAATTACCTGTTTGAAAAATTTTATAATAGAAACAAAGAAAAGTTTGGGTTTTTTTTCAAATTTTTTGCACTTTTTTTGTTAATAGAGCAAAATGTAAAGTGCCCAGCGGCAATTAAATACCACCAAAAGAAAGCTCTATTTGTGAGGAAAAAAAATGATAAAAATTTCATATGGGTACAATCTTGCATGACCGCGCAATTGTCAATCAAATGTGACAGCGCTGAAAGCTGAAAATTGGCCTGGTAAAGAAGGGGGTATGCAGTCAGGTCAATTAATATTGGGACATCGACACAATTCTAACATTTTTGGCTCTATACACCACCACAATGGATTTGAAATGAAACGAACAAGATGTGCTTTAACTGCAGACTGTCAGCTTTAATTTGAGGGTATTTACTTCAAAATCAGGTGAACGGTGTAGGAATTACAACAGTTTGCATATGTGCCTCCCACTTGTTAAGGGACCAAAAGTAATGGGACAATTGGCTTCTCAGCTGTTCCATGGCCAGGTGTGTGTTATTCCCGCATTATCCCAATTACAATGAGCAGATAAAAGGTCCAGAGTTCATTTCAAGTGTGCTATTTGCATTTGGAATCTGTTGCTGTCAACTCTCAAGATTAGATCCAAAGAGCTGTCACTATCAGTGAAGCAAGCCATCATTAGGCTGAAAAAACAAAACAAACCCATCAGAGAGATAGCAAAAACATTAGGCGTGGCCAAAACAACTGTTTGGAACATTCTTAAAAAGAAGGAACGCACCGATGAGCTCAGCAACACCAAAAGACCCGGAAGACCACAAAAACAACTGTGGTGGATGACCAAAGAATTCTTTCCCTGGTGAAGAAAACACCCTTCACAACAGTTGGCCAGATCAAGAACACTCTCCAGGAGGTAGGTGTATGTGTGTCAAAGTCAACAATCAAGAGAAGACTTCACCAGAGTGAATACAGAGGGTTCACCACAAGATGTAAACCATTGGTGAGCCTCAAAAACAGGAAGGCCAGATTAGAGTTTGCCAAACGACATCTAAAAAAGCCTTCACAGTTCTGGAACAACATCCTATGGACAGATGAGACCGAGATCAACTTGTACCAGAGTGATGGGAAGAGAAGAGTATGGAGAAGGAAAGGAACTGCTCATGATCCTAAGCATACCACCTCATCAGTGAAGCATGGTGGTGGTAGTGTCATGGCGTGGGCATGTATGGCTGCCAATGGAGCTGGTTCTCTTGTATTTATTGATGATGTGACTGCTGACAAAAGCAGCAGGATGAATTCTGAAGTGTTTCGGGAATATTATCTGCTCATATTCAGCCAAATGCTTCACAACTCATTGGACGCTTCACAGTGCAGATGGACAATGACCCAAAGCATACTGCAAAAGCAACCAAAGAGTTTTTTAAGGGAAAGAAGTGGAATGTTATGCAATGGCCAAGTCCATCACCTGACCTGAATCCGATTGAGCATGCATTTCACTTGCTGAAGACAAAACTGAAGGGAAAATGCCCCAAGAACAAGCAGGAACTGAAGACAGTTGCAGTAGAGGCCTGGCAGAGCATCACCAGGGATGAAACCCAGCGTCTGGTGATGTCTGTGTGTTCCAGACTTCAGGCTGTAATTGACTGCAAAGGATTTGTAACCAAGTATTAAAAAGTGAAAGTTTGATTTATGATTATTATTCTGTCCCATTACTTTTGGTCCCTTAACAAGTGGGAGGCACATATGCAAACTGTTGTAATTCCTACACCGTTCACCTAATTTGGATGTAAATACCCTCAATCTAAAACTGGCAGTCTGCGGTTAAAGCACATCTTGTTTGTTTCATTTCAAATCCATTGTGGTGGTTTATAGAGCCAACAATGTTAGAATTTTCTCGATGTCCCAATATTTATGGGACAAACAGAAGATGTAATTGGCGCAAGAGAGGTAGTGATGGGTATATAATATAGTTCACACAGAAAGTCTTAGGCGATATATGAATAGTTCAGTTGTTGGGGGTTTCTTAAAAATATATTTATGGACCTGACTGTAAGTGCCCGGTAGGCAAGGGGTTAAATTGAAGAAAAAGAGAGGGGGAAAAATTAACTGGAACGCATCAAAAAAGCACCTGAATGTGTCAAAAACGCGCATGCAAAAACGCATCTGGACTGCATTTCTATAGTGTGAACTGCCCCTAAGTATCTATAAATAGTCAGCAATTATTTTAGGAACTTCCCCGCTACTTGTATGTGATTTTTATCGTACGCACACTGACTCCATTGTTGTGAGCGACAGAGACATTGTCATGCAGCTTATTTCATTAGACAAATAGCAGTGTGCAATGTCCAGGACTGCACAGAGATCAATCACAAGCCTCATACTCAGACGAGCAGAAAACAGAAAATGATGTATTATAGGACTTGGCACATCATCTCTGCAGTCTGGCATGAAAGGTGCCCGATGCCTCAAAGTGGACAGGACCCTCAGCTGGATGACGTTTAGTTGATTACAGTGGGATCAGCCCTGGTGCACACCGGGTCCAGCTTGAAGTCGCACAATTTCAAAGCCACATGTCAGTGCGACTTGGCAGACATCTGAGCGACTTCATGCTCGGATGTCTGTGCAAGTCGTACCCAAAATTGGAGCGGTGTTGCAAAGTCACACCGATTTGAACGGTTCCATTGCTGGCAATAGTGTGCGACTTGTCATGCAATTTGAAATGGTAAAATCGCATGATAAGTTGCATCGGGGTGAACCAGAGCTAAAACCCAAAAGCAAACGTTTATTATATTGCAGCTTGTCAGTTCTTAGATGTGATGGCTGCATTAGTTTTCTTTTCCTCGACTTTATTATATTTTCACTTGGTGATCCAGCCACTAAGTCCACTCCCTCTTAGATTGTAATCTCCCAGGATCAGGGCCCTCCTATCTATCCCTCTTGTATTGAACTGTATTGTTGCTGTATTGTCTCCCGTTATATTGTAAAGCGCTGAGCAAACTGCTGGCGCTATATAAATCCTGTATAATAATAATAATATAACTCCTGTATATAATAATAATTTAAATCCTGTATAATAATAATAATAATAATATAACTCCTGTATAATAATAATAATATAAATCCTGTATAATAATAATAAAAATACAAATCCTGTATAATATAATAATAATAATAATAATAAAATCCTGTATAATAATAATAATATATAAATCCTGTATAATAATAATATAAATCCTGTATAATAAATAATATATAAATCCTGTATTATATAATAATAATAATATAAATCCTGTATAATAATAATAATATATAAATCCTGTATAATAATAATAATAATATAAATCCTGTATAATAATAATAATAAATCCTGTATAATAATAATAATATAAATCCTATATAATAATATATTATAAATCCTGTATTATATAATAATAATATAAAATCCTGTATAATAATAATAAAATATAAATCCTGTATAATAATAATAATATAAATCCTGTATAATAATAATATATAAATCCTGTATAATAATAATAATATAAATCCTATATAATAATAATATTATAAATCCTGTATAATTATATTAATAATATAAATCCTGTATAATAATAATAAAATATAAATCCTGTATAATAATAAAATATAAATCCTGTATAATAATAATAATATAAATCCTGTATAATAATAATATATAAATCCTGTATAATAATATAAAAATCCTGTAATAATAATAATAATATATAAATCCTGTATAATAATAATAAAATATAAATCTTGTATAATAATAATAATAATAATATAAATCCTGTATAATAATAATAATAATAATATATAAAATCTTGTATAATAATAATATAAATCCTGTATAATAATAATCATAATAAAATATACACAAAAATTGGTGTATATTTTATATAAGGTTTTTGGTTCCTTTTTGAATGCATTTGCTGCTGACCACATCAGAGTCTTGAGCGCTCGCTGATCTTGTATTCAAAATAATAATAATAAGTCTGTTATTTTAAACAGAACAATCTGTCCTGCAGATGTATCTGTTAGAGGGGGTAAGACAAACCATTTACCACTGACAAGGGTTCTTACAATGATCAGCTTTTATTTATTTATTGTTTATATTAAACTTTTATCCCAAAAGTTAAAAAAAAAAAATAGCTGTAACTGATTACAAGGCCTCATGCACAGCGGACATTATAAAGATGCCAGTAGCGATAGTCGTAGAATGCCGCATTCAAAATGCAAGTTTTGTCAGTTTTTTTCATATTTCAGCGTTTGCCTTTTTTAGTGTTTTTTTTAAAGCAAAGCTGTGCTCCCATACAAGCACGAGGCCCCAAAACACCGGATAGCTGCGTTTTTCAGCATTAGAGCATTTTTTACAGATGAAAGGCTCCTCTTCAGACGCAGTTGTTCTGGGTTTTTGCATGGACACATAGGATAACATGCTAGCTGTAGAAAAAAATGTCTGACACCCAAAACAGCAGCTGTAAAAAAAAATGCCCAGTGTGCAGGAGGCCTAAAGTGTGAGCTGGAGTTTGGCTGCAATTTGTTAGTGTATGTAAATCTGCTAGTACATCTAACACTCCCCTTCCCCCAGACTGACAATGCTGCTGTACCCCATGTGCTCCTTCATCCAGATTGGAGGCACTCTAATACAGGAGGTGTGTTACTGGCCAGATCACCAGGTGAAAACAGAGGAGGAAAATGTGTAAAAAAGAAAACGAATGCAGCTACCACATCTAATGGTTGGTGAGCTGCAATATATTACATTTTTGGCTTTGGGTTTAATACCGCTTTAAGGAATTGGGTATCATATGAAAACCATGTACCACAACAAAG